GCCTTCTCTTCTCCAGACTGAACAACCCCATTTCTCTCAGCCTGTCCTCATAGCAGAGCTGTTCTAATCACTTTTGTGTCCTCCTCTGGACCCACTCCAACAGGTCTTTCCTGTGCTGAGGACTCCAGAACTGAACGCAGCACTGCAGGTGGGTCTCACCAGAGCAGTGTAGAGGGGCAGAATCCCCTCCCTTGACCTGCTGTTTTGATGCAGCCCAGGATATGGTTGGCTTTCTGTGCACAGAGTGGACATGGTCTGCTCACGTCCAGCTTTTCATCCTCCAGTACCCCCAAGTCCTCCTCCACAGGGCTGCTCTCGATCCCTTCATCCGCAGCCTGCATTGGTACTGGGGCTTGCCCTGACCCAAGTGTGGGACATTGCACTTGGCCTTGTTGAATTGCATGGTGTTCACACAGGCCCACTTCTTGAACTTGTCCAGGTCCCTCTGAATGGTATCCTGTCCCTCAGGTGTATCAACTGCTCTACTCAGCTTGGTGTCATTGCAGATTTTCTGAGAGTGCACTAAATCCAGCTGTCTGCGTAGTTGAGGAAGATGTTAAACAGTACTGGTCCCAATACGGACTCCTGAGGGACACCACTCATCACTGATCTCTGTCTGGAGAAGACTGATCCGTTGACCAATACTCTGATGTGACCATCCAGCCAATTCCTTATCCACCAAATAGTCCATCCATCAAATCAGTGTCTCTGCAGTTTAGAGAAGGATGTTGGGGACTGTGGCAAAGGCCTTGCAGAAGTCCAGATACATGACATCAGTAGCTCTTCCCTTGTCTACTGGTGTAGTCACTCCACTTTAGAAGGCCATTAAGTTGGTCAGGCAAGACTTGCCCTTGGTGAAGGCATGCTGGCTGTCTCAAACCACCTCACTGTCCTCCATGGGCTTTAACACAGCTTGTAAGAAGATCTGTTCCATGATCTTCACAGGTATAGAGGTGAGGCTGGTGTGCTCAGGTTGCTCGAAGCCTCATCCAGCCTGGCCTTCAGCACTTCCAGGGAGGAACAGCCACAGCTTCTCTGGGCAACCTGGGACACTGTCTCACCACCCTCATGAGCAGAAGCAGTTCTAGTTTGCTGTGTTGTTTTGGAAATGGGAGGACTGGGACTGTGCACCGTGTTTGGAATACGGGTGCAATATGTATTGAATTGTTGAGGTAAAGGTGTTTGTATTTTGTGTTTTATTGCATTCCTGTTAATTTCAAACCATTTGTTGGCTTCCTCCTTCACAAAGTTTCTTTGAAACTTTGCTAGTTTATGATTGTAGAAGTCTAATTGTTAGTGCAAGTAATGGAATGTTTCTCAAAAATGAATTTCTCACATTTGTGGCCTGAACAGACACTCTGACACCGAAGAGACTGCTACATCTTGCTTTGTGTTCACATAAGATTTTAATTCTGTGTCAGATTGATCTTACATTTTGTTTAAGAAATGTAGAAACTGTACCATGAAGATTCTCCTGTATTACTGCTTTTATTTTTTTTATTTCTGATTGCTGGATGTAATGTATTTAAATCTAGGGACTGGGAAGAGTAATTTCCATCTTTCTAGCTAATAACACAACAAGCCCCACTGCTTTAATGGCAAATAATTATATTTTCAAATAGGTTATTGGGTAAGTATGGTCTCTATTGTATTATCTGAAGTATTTAGAAATAAAACTAAGGAATAGTTAAGAGCAGGGTTTTTTTTACACTAAAAACCTGTACTATTTTAGTGGGATCAAAGATAAAGAATTCCTTATTTTCCCCCTGAACTCTCGATGTAGAAGTAATATAAGTGTCTTGCTGCATATGAGAGATTCTTCCTTGAGTTTGTCAAGTGGAAGAAGTGGGGAGTTTGGTTGTGGCATAACTGTATATTGCTATAAATTGCCATTACTTTACAGAAAAGAACTGTTTTGGTCCAGATCTTCAAGCTAGAATGCAGGTGTCTTATTTTTTCATATTATTTTGTTCAAATTGGCCTTAATTCCAGACTAAATGTGTAAATGCTTAAGTTTCCCATTTAATAGATCTTGGAATGTTTTAATACTTTGAGGAATTGTGCTTCAGCCTGCAAAGGACAGGCAGTTGCAGACACCAGGTTCGCGAAGGCTGATGCTCTGGCTGAGTGAAGTAGGGAGTTTAAAACGCATCCAGTAGTGTGTCTTCTCTGCCCATTTGGTGACTAGTAATTCTGTTTAGCTCTAAAATTTGTTCAGACATGCACTTGTGCTTAACGTTGTTTTGAACAGATGGTACACTTCCAGTGTCAAAATAATCACTTTATAAATGCTACTCTAGTGTCTAATTACTGTCCATTGTTTGGAGAAAGGAGGGGGGAGGAAAAGCAAAAAAACCCAAACCCCCAAAACCAAACCACCAAACAAAAACCTGCAAACTAATTAAATATACTTAGGGACTAACTGGTTGGGGTTATTATGTGAAGCTGGCATGCTTAACATTTTAAAGAAATCACTTAATGCATTTAAAGGTCTTAAAAGTGTTGGTAAAACATATTTTAATGATAAAAGCATAGGAATTTATCTTCATCATGACTTTGTCCTCCAAGCCTACCTACCTACTTGGTTTTCAGAAGGCGATGGATTATTTGCATTGGAAATGCTTTTAACACTAGGAAATGTGAGACCTTGAAAGCCCGTGGTGGTACCAAGGACTCCTTCGGTGGTTGCTCTCCTTGCATCCTACAGTGAAGTTGTCTTTTGCTAGTTGCTACACAGGAGCTGTAAAAACCTGTTTTGCAGAAGTAGGCTACATACTTTGGGATGTTTCAAACATGGAAGAGTTTGTTGATGCAAAGGTAACTGATTATTATTTTCATTTGTGCACTTGAACCCTGTAGTAAGTAAATATGATGGTGTGTAAGGAAAACTGATAGTTACATTCTGAGGTTGTTTTTTTATAATGCAATCCTTGTTAGAACTCTCTGTAGCATTTCTCAGAGGTACATATCTTACAGAATCTTCAGCTTGACACTGACACACTTCTTATAGAATAGAATCAGAGAATCATAGTGGTTGGAAAAGACCTTTAAAGTCATCGAGTCCAACCATAAGCCCAACACTACCAATTCCACCTCTAAACCATGTCCCTAAGCACCTCGTCTACCTGTTTTTTAGGGAAGGTGACTCCACATCGCCCTGGGCAGCCCCTTCCAATGCTTGACTAACCTTTTGGTAAAGAAGTTTTTCCTCAGATCCAATCTAAACCTCCCCTGGCGCAATCCTGTCGCTTGTTTCGGGAGGTGGGGGGGGAAGTGGTGTTTCCTTGAAAAATGGAACTGGGTATTGCTGTAAAATCTGTGCAGTTCCTACCAGGAGCTCTGTGTAGAAGCTGTTAACATCCAGGTGCAGGTACAGCAGCTTTCAGCTGGCTCGCTCAGGTCCTTTTAGTTTTCTTTCTGCACTTGTCTAGATCCCCATGCGTGCTTGTAACTACCAATACGCAGCTGTTACGGAGAAGGATGAGGGAGTAAGTTGGAAGTAACTCCTTGCAAAGTCTGCTTCTTTTGTTTGTTTTGCACAAGTATGGTACTTAAGTTTAACTTAAATGAGCAGCTTACTGGAATAGTTTTCTTATTTACTGAAGGGACTTCTGGATGCTTTAAAGTAGCAAGTCTGGTTTGTAAAAGGTTCAATACAGGAGACATTGTCCAAAATTAAACTCTATACTTGTCTGACTGGAATTCATGTGTTCATCCTGTCGGCTGAAAACCGGAATGTCTGTGTTCAGGAAAGGTGTTTGTGACTGGAAGCTGCAGAGAAACTTACTGATAGAATTGTTACCAACTTCTTTGATAGAGATGCTCATTAAGCATTTGGCCTCTGGAGAGAACCACAGACTAGTTACTGTTAAACAAAATAAACACAGTGGGGTTTTCTTCAGCTGTAGTAGGCAGAAAACTTCAAATTTTGCTGGTCTGAAACAATCACTTCTCAGCTTTATTTCTTCCCTTAAATAATTGAGAACAGTGAGAATTTCAGTGACCTGTATCTCAGAGCAGTTGACAGGCTTTCTTCATTTTGGTGAACTCCTTTCTTTCCTTTCAGATTTAAGTTAGATGTTTAGTAAATGGAATATCATTTCAGCATTTGTCCAGAGAAGAATCTCTTAACAATATTAGCTAAGAAAACAAATTATATTTTTCTGAATGCTTGGTGTTGCTTAGGATCTTGAATTGTCAGAATTGTACATCAACAAGTTGATGTAAACTTTCAGAAGTACAGTTTACGTGAATTAGAAGTCTGTTAATCTTGCTTCCTGGGGACTTTCAGAGATTATGGAAAACTAACTCAAGTTACAAAAGACAGTCAGATATCTGCAGCAGCTTTATCATCTTTAACACAATTTTAATTTCCACATCTGAGAGTTTTTAGAATTATCCTGGATTCTTTCGCTTCTTGTAATGTCTAATCTTGAGCATGTCTTTTATTTGGCAGTCTTTTGCATCTTGTATCGAACCCAAATGTTGTGATTTTTCCGCTCATGTTGGCAGTGGAGTTGAACACTGGGAGTAACAGAACCCAGTGACCTGTGGAGTTTATTGTAAATTTGCAGGTAGTGAGATTTTGGGACAAACACTCCTGATTTGTGGACATATGACCTAATTATGACTGTTAATGGGACTGAAATTTGAAAAAGCATTAAGATAATTCAACATTTCCAAATTAGTAGATTTTGGGAGGGAGGGTAGAATAGTAGGATGTGGGAAGAATAACGTTTTGTTTTTAAAACTTCCATTCAGAACTATGGTAGGCTGATTTTAGATTATCACTAGTGATAACGCCTAAGAAAATTCTCTTCTCTTCAGGGTTCCTGGAGTTCCTCTTTGGCACATTTTATGTTTTTTATTTTTCCTTATTTCAAAGGACCTGGGCTCCTGTTGAAAAGTGATGGAGTAATCTCTGGCCGGCACCTGACATGTTGAGGGAGCACCCCTAAAAGAGCTTCTCTGGGAGACACTTTGTGAAATAACGCAGTAACATGTTTGCAGTAGTATGCCTTTTTTTGTTGTTGTTGCTATTTTCCCTACTTGAATTTCTCTTGAAATAAGTAACTGAGAAATACATTGAAGCTACTGAAATGAGCTTTAATCACTGCAGAGGGGTTTACATGTGGAATTAGCATTAATAGTGGTTCCTTCCAAAGATGCTACTTTCACTAATTGGGGCAAGGGGAGGGATTTGATCTACTTTCTAGAGGCTTACAAAAAAATCCAAGCAAAAAAGTATCCTGTGACCTTAATAATGCTTCACTTGCTTACAGTAAGTCTGTGTGTAACCTGAATACCCACAAGCTAGTGTTTCTAATAACAACTTTGTATAAATTGATTTCTGCTAATCTGTGAAATCAGGTGTTTTGAACCCTGTTTGTAAGTTTACTAGTACTTTTAGTAGAAATTTTTTTTTTTTTTTCTGTTTTTAACCACTCTAATTCTTGCATGGGAGCTCAGATGATTTTAATTACTGATACTGCAGATGAAATTATCTGTACCTTTTTCTGATTGATTTTATTTGACTCCCATATCTTCAGATACAAAGCTATGCAATCTAGGGACAGTGCTTACAACTTGACAAAAGGCTAAGCAAAGTAAGGTCGTATAAAGTGATAAATGTGTAATGGTTAAAGCTACAATGGAAACCTTAGAATTGATTAAAACTTCTCCATAGTGAGTATACCAGGCTTCTCAATATTTAGGCCAAATACTGGAAGTCTTGCCAATGAAGAGTCATAAGGGTTTTGCTGGATCCTTGAGATTTTATCTGTTTTCTAAACTGCTCAGGTCCAAAATTTGACACTTCACTGTTCCAAGTAGCTGTAGTGTGCATGCTGAATCCAGTTTAACTTGGAAATAAAAGCTTAAAGCTGCCTACCTCCTAGTTTGCATAAGAATTAGATACTTCTATTTTAGTTTTGGTAGGTTTTTTTAAGAGTCTATGACAAAAGCATGGTTTGGTTATTGTCTTAAAGCTTGCTCCTGTATACAGTCCGCAGCACACAGAAGCGTTCTTGCTACCATAGTACTATTCACCTACGTTCTCTGCAGTAACTACATGTCCTTGCAGCTGATGTCGCTAATGCACAGCAGTAATTAACGTTTTGAATTAATCCTTCACACTTGTAAAGAGGTTGCTAAAGGAGCAAAAGGAGTGTTTATTTCCTTATTTAAATAAGTACTGCTGAAAACCATGCTGCTTACGATTGTAAGGGAAAAAAGTTTTTCTTACTGCTCTGTAGTGTCTCTTTCAATCCACTTAAATTCTGCATGCACATGAGACCTGCTGATACTGTGTCAGAGATGAAATGTCACATAAAAGCCCTGTTTTGGAGAGGGGGGAGTGGAGCGAGTGCTTGTATTGAGCTTAATGAGAGGTGAAAGCAGGAGTTCATTGCATCTATCAGAGACATACTCTTTTCCGATAGCACAGTTGTCTCAGTAGCAGCTGCTCGAAAGGTGTCTTAGAACAACAGAATTAACATGGAGATGCCAAAGCCTTTTGTAAGGAAAGGTTAAGCTGCTCATCCTTATGTATTTTCTGTTACAGCCTCTTACAGTGTTTCAGTGGTTGGGGCCACTGCCCTTTCACATGTTTGCCTAAGGTATTTTATTGTCCCTTGTTCTTCCTCCTGTGTCAAGTTTGTGGAGGGAGGTGCAGTGAGGAAGTAGGTCCCGTGTTTAAATTAGCTCCAGTACTTTGATGTATGTTGCCTGCAAGCTAAAATTCTTCCACCTTTATGGGCGTTTTCTTCAACGATAAGGATGGTACTCTAGTTCACTTATGTAGTACATGTTTTGCCTTCTCCCAACTTTATTAATTGCTGAGCAAGTTGTTCTGAGTCTGAGACTTGGTGCATAGATTAAAAACAAAGGTTGGGAAGAGCAAATCCAATAGATTGAAAACTGAAGTTACCCTTTTTTCTTTAATGCAGATAAGCATGTTCCTTTCATGTAAATAAAACCCTGGAACTGCCTGACTTTATCTTTGGATTTTAGAATATTAGCTATTGCTAAAGTTACAAAAACTACCACGGAGTAGTCAGACATCTGTAGTCAAGCCTGATTTTGTAGTTTTTGATTGTCAGCATCTGCTGTTGTCTCATCTGAGTTCTAGAAAGTTTCTATGCGTGCAGGTACCTTTGGGGTTAGAAGCAATGAAATACTACTATGAAGTGTTACTACAAATCCTGCTTGAATAGATTTGTAAACTTACTGCTTTGTGTATATTCTTCTTATCCAGACCAGCATGTTTTGGAAATTTGATCTCCATTCATCATCCCACATAGATACACTTCTAGAGAGAGAAGATGTAACGCTGAAGGAATTGATGGATGAAGAGGATGTTCTGCAAGAGTGCAAGGCTCAGAATCGCAAACTTATAGAGTTTCTGCTGAAGTCAGAATGTTTGGAAGACTTAGTTTCATTTATTATCGAAGAGCCACCTCAAGACATGGATGAAAAAATTCGATATAAGTAGGAAAACTTTTGGGGGTGGGGAGACTTGAGAAGGTGGAAGGAGGGGTACATTGCTGAAGTTAATTTAATAGTGTGTTTTGAATCCCTGCATACTGGTGTCTAGTACAATACTGGTGTCTTTAGAGGAAGTTTATTTTCAAGGGGATTTGTAGAACTTTAAAATAAATCACTCTAGTATTTGCATTTTTCAAACGGAAGCCTCCTATCCACAAATGATTCCAAAGCTGATTGCTGCCCAGAGGAGGCTTAGTTAAAAAAAAAACAAAACAAAACAAAACCAAACAAACTTACAGGAAGAATCTTGTAATTGTGATTATTGAGAAAATAGTTGAATGAAAAACCCTATCTGGGTAGTATAGTTAAAGTGCTTAGCTTTTTTGTATCAGTGATTGGTAAGATGCTTATTAGAAGGTCTGTAGCACTCCTTGGAATAATGTGCTTAACGTCCAATTGCTGGTGTTTTCCTTTGCAGAGCTAGAACTGTAAAAATTGGCTATAGCCATGACTTCAGCTAGTTTGCTGAGAAGGTTCAAGCTCAAAAGTCAACCTAGCAGTTCGTAGAAAGGCATTTCTGCTATTTTTGGCCTATTTTAGCATTGTCTATGCAGAAAGCTTTTTTTTTTTCCCCCTCAAAACAGTATTAAAAAAAAAAAAAGTGACATAATCTACACTCTTAGTTTGCAGCGCTTCACCATTTCTGGTAAACCACGCCTCCTGTAAGTGTTTCTACTACAGTTTGAAGTTGAAACATGTTTTGCTTAGAAACCTTAAGCTGTTGATGATGTCAAATTACCTTTAGTGTCAGTGGGTGATAGTACTGTCAAATGCAGGGAACTACTGGTCTTGATGGCCTCTTAGTGTAATTAACGTTCTGAACTATTCTGGTTCAGTGTCGTGAAGCAGTACTAGCTAGTTTTGCAGACTTCATCAGACTTTGACTAGTTTACTGAGTTTCTACCTAATTGCTGTATAAATACATAGTTCCTGAAGCTATTCCTTTTGACTTTTTTAGTATAATCCTTGTTATATTAGAAAAGGGCAATCATACTGCTCCCTCCCCAGTATTGGTCCAGTGCTATCAGTCTGCTTAATTTCTTGGGTAACTAACTTTTCCCCTCAAAAAAAAAAAAAGTGGCTTCTGAAATGAGAGATCAGGATTTGAACAGATGGATTTAACGATAGATGTTAAAATAAAAGCTTGTCCTCTCCTTTCCCCACTTCCCTAGTGTTGTCCTATTTCAGAGTAGTCCATTTCTGAAATGGAAGAGCAGAGCTTGTGGGCTGAGTGTGCAGTTAATGTTCCCTTGCAGTAGTTTGCTGCTTTAATTAGTGCAGACCAACCCTGTGTGAAAACTTGGTCAGAAGCCTTACCAGGTTCTGAATTCAGAGCTAGAAGTTTGACAACTTTGGAAGTATGAGTGATGGATAATTTTTTTTTTCCTTTTTTCCAGATATCCAAACATATCATGTGAGCTGCTTACATCAGATGTCTCACAGATCAACGATAGGCTGGGAGAGGAAGAATCCTTACTTATGAAACTGTACAGCTTCCTCTTAAATGAATCTCCTTTAAACCCTTTACTGGCCAGTTTCTTCAGCAAGGTGCTAAGTATTCTTATAAGCAGAAAACCAGAACAGGTAAATAATTACAAGCTCTCCAATTTAACAAGTGCTCTAATAAAATTGTAGTACTCAGCAGTGCTGCCTTAAGACTACACATTTGAGGGATAGCAGTGGAGTCAAAAAAGAACATTCAACTTCCATACTAGCTGAAGTCACTAGCTTTTTTATGGTATGCACAGGATTAGAAAAATATATCTGGACAAGAAAGATGTATTTGATTCAGATTTGCCCGAGTTATTTGTGCAGTCAGTGTGTGAATGCTTATGTTTTGGCTTAGCTTAACTCAGTATTTTATATGGTGATATTTGCATTAATTGCTGTTAGAGGTGAAGGTGAATGAATTGAATCAGTGGGAGTGGGTCACATTCGGTGTGAAGAGTGACATTTGGAGTCTTTGTTCAGAAATGTTGTACTCTGTGTTCACGTGGCCCAGTACTGCAAACAGTTGCAGTGACTGATCTCGTACCTGAGGAAGTTAAGCTTGTGATTCTGTTCTGTATCTTTAATTTAGCAAGCTCTGTATTTATTTGTATTAGGTTAAGGTTTTGCTTTGTCAGGCTTTGCTCACTAAGCAGGGATGAGAGTAATTCATAGGTGATGGTCAGCAAGTTAGACTTGAGAGGAGCTCCAAGACATACTGCACATGATATCGATCTGTCCAGTGCCACTTTTGCTACTCTATACATGTGTATTACTTTATCTTGCCTGATAGTGCAAGCTTGAAGTGACAAAAGTGTTTAAGAAGTTATCTTTTTGTTTTTCTACTTGGTAGGAGAGAGAGACTAAAACTAATTTATCATGTAGAATACAGATAAGGAAATGTAAGCTTACTTCTTTTTACTTTCTAGATTGTGGATTTTTTAAAGAGGAAACATGATTTTGTAGACCTCATTATTAAGCACATAGGGACCTCTGCTATCATGGACTTGTTGCTCAGGCTACTGACTTGCATAGAACCTCCACAGCCTCGGCAAGAGGTGTTAAATGTAAGTAAAATGTCTCAAAGGACTTTTTAATATCTAACTTAAAACTGCCAGGTACAGTTTTAAAAATGTTTTGGACTTTACTAACTGCTTTTTTTTTTGACATCAGAAAGTTTATTTTAAAATTATACCTAAGGCTTTCTTTTTTACAGTTGCTCAGAAACACTGATTTTACTTTTTTACTTTTATCTGAAGTATTGTTAGTCCTTGCTTAGAAATATCAACAGTATGACTCATGGCAATTAAACAGCTTTTTAAAATTTCATTAATTTCAATTAATTTAATTAATTCACTTGGATAACATTCTTACTAACACCCACAAACACTTTTACAGTGGCTAAATGAGGAGAGAATTATCCAGCGGCTTGTGGAAATTGTGCATCCGTCTCAGGATGAAGATGTAAGTATTGGTCTGACACTCCTCTATCTATGAGTCTATCTGCTCATCAAGTTGCTGTACAACATAGTGTTAGAACTTTTAGTTTTACTGTTTTCTGCCTGCTTTTTTCAGGAAGCTGATTGCAGTATTTAAGCGTGGTAATTTGAGGGCGGGTGTGTGGTCTTTTCTCCTCCACTCTTTTTCTTCCCCCTACTCCCCCCATGCATACTCAGTGTTGTTAGAAGGTTCAGCTCTAATGTTTTGCCACCTTAATACTGGAAATAGATTCTTGCCTCATGCCTCTAGTTTTTTTGGTCTTATTAAGGTTTAGTTATGGCACAAAGCTGTTACCTGTATGTTTTTTGGGTAGGAGAGACTTGTCCAAGTTGAAACTTTCACTTTTTTTAATTGGAGAGTTAGTCCAGCATATTACGGCTTTTTGCTGTATGAGTAATATTTTTCTGTTCCAGAGGCATTCAAACGCATCACAGTCACTCTGTGAAATTATTCGTCTAAGCAGAGACCAGATGTTACAAGTACAGAACAGTTCAGAACCAGATCCACTGCTTGCAAGTCTAGAGAAGTAAGTTGGTTTATTGAATTTCCGATTTTTATTTTCAGCTCATAAAAACTATAGTTTTTTAACTTTTGACCTTGAAAACCTTCAGAAATAGCAAGCTCTGCTTCTCAGGTGAATTTTCTTGGCTACCTGTTGTCTGTCTGTGTGATTTAAAATAATTCAGCAAGTAAGCAGAGCACACCAGGAAGACTTCCTTGCAAGGGGGGGGATTGTCTCATGAAAACGTTTCCTGTACTGCCAGAGTTAGTGGGATCAGACATGTGGAGGTCAGCTTGATACTGTATAGAGCACACAGGGGAGACTGGCTGTGATCTGTTGTTTGCTTTAAGTTAATTGAAGTGTGTGTTTCTGCCAGAGAAGATTCTCCTGTATTGCATTCTTTCTTTTGCTTGTTACAGGGTTAGGTTTGTGTGGGTGTTATGGTAAGGTGAATCGGATTTTGATCTGACTGAAAACTCCCTTTTTTGTAGCATTGGTTGTCAGATCAAAAAGTGAGATCAGTGGAAGGAATAGGAAAATATGATTGGGGCAGTGAGGATGGGGGTGATTGTGCTAGTGGTCATGCTAACTTGAAATAACTACTAGTTTTCTTTGTATTATCCCCTTATTAATTTTACATGGGCAAATGGTAACTACTTCTGTGAATAGCTGTATCCTGGAGTAGTGGTGTATCTGATGCCAATGCTTTTCTTTTCAGACAAGAGATCATAGAGCAGCTGCTGTCTAATATTTTTCATAAAGAAAAAAATGAATCTGCAATAGTCAGTGCAATCCAAATACTATTGACCTTACTTGAGACAAGACGACAGACGTAAGTGTTCTGATTTCGTTTAGATTATGCCTGCATAATTAAACTAAACTACTGTTTAGCAACACTGAGTGTCTTCCATGTACTTATGACTGAACCATTTTTGTGGCCTATTGTAGCTGAAGAAGTAAAAGAACAAACCATATGATTGCAGTCAGCATTACTACACCTTCACCAAATGGCTGGTCTGTCTGTAGTTTTGTTTCTTTTTTCTAGAAGCTAGTTTAAGTGCTACTTGAAGAACAAATGAATTACATTTCATCAATTTGTTTCTGGATACAAGGAATATAGAGTAAATAGGTACAGTGCCATGAATGGGTATTGACTTCTTGAAAAGTTACTTAGAATTTTATTACAACTTCACTTTCAGAAACTGCTGAACAGATCTGTGGTGCATTCAACTTGTTTATGTTGTTCAGGATAGATGAGTGAAGCTCTTTATCTGCCTCAAAAAGATTGTTTAATCTCAAAACCATATTGGAGATTTCAAGCACGATAAACCTAAAAATACTAGGGCTAATGTTTGGAAGAATCTTGTTCAACCATTACTTCACACTTAATTTTTATTTGTAATCTTATGTTTTTACTTGCCACTTCATTCTTTTCACATGCCTTCAGAACTGTGACACTCAAAGTCATACCTTTAAGATGTTTTACAACTAGTTTTGATATTAATTATCAGATTTTGCTTGTTGTTTAGATTTGAAGGCCATATAGAGATCTGTCCTCCAGGCATGAGCAATTCAACGTACTCAGTCAACAGAAGTGTTCTAGAAGCCATAAAAGCACGACTTTCATCCTTCCATGAACTCCTACTTGAGCCACCAAAAGTAAGTGAAACCTTGTGTTACTGAATTAATTGAAACAAGACTGTCACTGTGTGACTGTATTTTAGGCAGGTTACGTTAACAAACAAAACCCCGTTTGACAACTTCTGTGCAAGTTCCTGGGCTCCTTCCCAGCCTGTTGTGAGCTTTGCTGTTCATTATTGTTGTTCCTGAGCCACTATGTTGTGCTAATTGATATGTTTTTCCAGCTTAAACTTTGTTTAATTGGCAGAATAGCCTTGAAGCAACTACTTTCTGAAAGCAATGAAAAGAGACTTGCTATATATTCTCAAGGTGGGTCCTGTTTTCTGCTTGGAAATCCCATCTAGATAGGAAACATGGACTATGGATGCTTCAGTTGACTGGAACTTTGCCACAGCCCTGTGAGGCCTGAACAATTCCTCTAGACTTGCCCAAGGACCCAAGTAGACCAGCTCCATGGCATGCACCCTGCAAAAGATAAATATAAGATGTATAAATAGGGGTTTTCCCCATGATCCTGTTATATTTTTCCACTCAGATTTTCACTGGCAAAATTTCAGCTGGAACACTAAACCCTGAACTGGGCGCCACAGTCCATAAGAGAGAAGTACCTTAGGGCCAAAGTGAAAATAAAGACAGGAAGTGTATAAAATGCCAGATGGGAGGGTTGAGGTAGTGTTTAAGTTTAACTTAGCATGGAGAAGATGAGACCTCAAGACTTCCAAATGCAGAACAGGTAATAAAATGCAATGAAACTGTCTTACCTTTATTGCAACAACATGACAATCTACAGGTCTGTATTACAGTAAAAGCAGGGTCATGTAAGATAATAAAATATTTTCTGGTGGTTGGACATACTTAGCATTTGAATAAGTCATCCAGCGATGCTACTGAGTCTGCTGATTTTGAGCACTAGTTAAATGAGCATCCTTGGATCTTTGCCTTATGTAAGGAATGGACTAAATGAGGTAGCGGGATCATAGAGTCATAGAATGGCTTGTGTTGGAAAGGACCTTAAACCCGCCATCAGGCGGGACAACTTCCACTAGACGAGGTCGCTCAAAGCCTCATCCAGCCTGGCCTTCAACACTTCCAGGGAGGGGGCAGCCACAGCTTCTCTGGGCAACCTGGGACACTGTCTCACCACCCTCACACCAAAGAATTGCTTCCTCACATCTCATCTCAATCTGCTCTTGTCCAGTTTATAACTGTTGCCCCTTATTCTATTGAGGATGTCAGTCATCTTTTTTCTGATAGGGTGGTATTTGACAGGCAAAAATGACATCCAGTGCTAGATAAGGCAGTAGTGGTCTGCTTGTCAAAATGTGTTTGTGCCTTGAGATAGGAAGGCATTTTTGTTATGAATTCTCCTGCTCGTTGTGTATTTGCTACTAGATTTTTATCTCTTACAGTAGCTAATACCAGATTTTTCCTGTTGGCTGACATTTAGTTATATGACAGCTGGTTATCAAGCCAAATCTGTTAAAATTTCAATTTAAGAACCATGAAGCTTATAGCTGTAATTCAAGGACCTATTAGTACGTGGGAACATTCTTGCTGTGTTAGAAGGAACTCCTTCAAAGACTACAGATGAAGCTTGTTTAATGTATAACATTAGAATAAGACACCAGAGAAGCTTGTTGCTTAATGAAATTGGTTTTGAGTATATGAGGTTAGGACTATTGAGTCATTATAATACATTCAGAGTCTGTCCACCTAGCTGTTTTATGTATAGCGCAGCAACATAGACAATAGCTGTACATGGATTAACCAGTAAGAAGCATTCCCTAGGAAGTGTCTCCCAGTTCCTTTCAGGGCTGGGTAGAATGCATCTACTTTCAGATCCTGTCTGTAGTTAACAGTCAATTTTTTACAAAGTTGTTGGTTTCATATGGCTGTTTTTAGTGCTTCCTATCCATGGCGTTAAAATAGGCTGTAGTGTTCAGAACTAAGAATTGCTTTTTTTGCAGGCTGAAGGTAAGACTGTTGCTCAAGAACTGATTGTCTATATTTTTAAGCACTGCTCTGTCATTGTGCATAGAAATGATGAGCTGGCTTTTTTTATTTAAAAGATATTTTAATGGATTTTATATATGTACTTTTTCCTTTTTCAGAAAAGTGTCATGAAGACAACCTGGGGTGTATTGGATCCACCTGTAGGAAACACGCGTTTAAATGTGATTAGATTAATATCTAGCCTTTTGCAGACAAATATAAACAGTGTGAATCAGGAGCTTATAGAGCTTAACAGCATAGGAGTAATACTGGTAAGAACTTCATGCTGCCTTCTTTATTTTTATGGATTGCTATTAAGATCTCTTCTGTGTTTTCTGTCACTGCAGATAACTTGGAGTATATTTTCCAGCCTGACTTCTCAACCTGTGTTGTGACCTCTATTGCATCATTTAAGAACTTTTAGTGTTGGGTTTGATCGTTAAATTAATCTGTCTGAAGTCAGTATTTTCCACTTGAATTGTTCTTATTCTCTACACCTTCATAAGTGTGAAGTGCTTTTCTTAACAAACTTATTTTTTTCATCTGTGTGTTCCCAAGTTTTCAGCCATGTGCAGGGCTTCCGTGCTGTTTTCATTCTTTTCCTAAGTTGTTCCCTCAAAACCCGTTTTCGTCTCTTAATAATACACGGCACACAGAGTGGTATCTCAGCTCTGCCCTATAAAGGGACAGTTATTTTTGGTAGCTCATATGCCTTCAAACCTCTGAGAGTGAGATGTTGCACAACACACTTTCAGTCAGTTAACTCACTGCTTTTTGCTCATGTGGAATGTGTACTTTGAGTACTTCCTACCTCATACTTCAACTATAGCCAGACATATTCTTTGTGTTCGGGTTGACCAAAAAATTCAAGTACTGGTAAAAATTAAAAAATAACTAGCAAAACATACTCAAATTTATACTACAGTTTCTAAATACAACATGGAAACTTCTGCTTCTAAGCAGGCAATTGTGAACTTAAAGTGTAAATATTCTCTCTGCTCCAAATTGTTTTAGTCTAAAATCTTTTTCCTTCAAGTAGTTAATACTGCAGTGGTTGTAATGTCGTCACCTTAATTTCTCTGCAATCTTGGGTTTCTAGACAGGTGCCGACTTGTATACAAATAAGTAACTTCACCATAATGGAAGTTTTTCCTCGATTCATTGTCTAAGGGGATGTGCGTGCTATGAACACTTGTCTGTTCTTAGAAATAGATTATTTTGTAAATAAAAATCAGTGAGTTTTGAGCAGGTTTTACATAAGGAAAAAAAAAATGTAATCTATAGCCATATAAAATTCTCAGTGCTTCATGCTGTTTGCTGAAACAGCACATGCTTTACTGTGCAAACTTGACTGCTAGGAAAAGTAATCTTCTAGTTGCAGTAGCATATCTTTATGGGAGGATGTTGTTAGTTCAGGAGGACTGAAGGAAAATTACAGATCCTTAGCTGTATTTTGAATGAGACTTAAATTGTTTAATACCATTCCAATCTCTGCACATATTTCTATAACTAGTTTCATTTTACCAGTAACAGCAATCATTTGAGTTTTGCAGTAAGAAGTAGTCTAAAATAATTGGACATAAAGCTTGAAAAAATCTTTAGTATGTTTAAGAGGAAAAATCTGGAGGAGCAGGAACTTGACTAAATGAACATTGTTTATTGTATCTCAACCTCGGTATTTGTCTGTATCTTGGGCAAGGCGTATAATAATCTTAAATGCCATCTAAACTATCTGAGGTGGCCTTCTGCAATAGAAGAATAAAATCAGTAAAAAATAAATAAAATCAAGTTCAAACCAGCTAGATATGATTTTGTAAGGAATCTCACTGAAGTGAGGAATAAATAGTATTGTAGATGCTAGAGGTTAAGTGAACTTAGACAAATCTACCAAGGGCTACTGAGGTCATGAGTACCCATCTGACCCTTGTGCTTTCTGGGCTGCAGCTAGCAGGATGTAAGTGGGGAGTGTTATTCCTCCCTGTCTGTCTTCTCTTAAAGTGCATTATTGGTTACCCCAGGGATAAATCCAGTTACAGTTGAGTTGGTGTTTGATCCAGCATGATAGTCCTTTTGTTCAGGTAATAGCAAGCACAAGAACTAACATCTTTGTAGGTCACAAATTTTCTCTTGCAGAATAATACTTTTTATAAAACTTAAAAGACTCTTTTCCCAGCATAGTCATTCAAATAACTTGCTGGGGTGGGACTATGAGTTATGTTTAATGAAAAGACCCTGGTTTGTTTAAAACTTGTTGAATTATTTTTTTTTTTTCAGGACATGTTCTTTAAGTATACATGGAATAACTTTTTGCATACTCAAGTAGAAATCTGTATTGCGTTGATTCTTGCAAGTCCTCTTGAAAGCACAGAAAATGGCACAATTACAGATCAGGATTCCACAGGGGACAATCTCTTACTGAAACATGTAAGTTGCGGGGTTTTGTGAGTCTCTAGAATTTTTTTTTTTCTGCCTCCAGGCTATGGTAGCAGTTACTCTTACATAAAATATACCCCAATTTTACTGTATTTCTATATAGAATGAACAGGAATGTTTTTTCTGTTTTCTGTTTTTTTTTATTCTTAAAATGTCAGTTCAGGGGGTTAAACCTGACCCAAAGTCAGCATGTGTGCAGTCGCAAGTATTTCTTTTCCTTGAAGGAGAAGTTGCTCTTATTTTTAAGAATTAAAATTACTCTTTCGATCACTTTATGCTACTACAACTCAAGAGCTATAAGGAGAAGCAGAATTAATGTAGGTCTAGCTTTTCGGTTTCTGATTGAGATCTGACTGTTCCTTCTGAACTTTAAACCCTTTAAATATTTTTCCTGAACCTGAAAGTAGTTTTCTTCTATGACTTTAGTATTTGTTAAAATCAACTGTAAAATGCATAATAGTGTTCCACTTTACTGCTACTAAGCATATTTTGCTTTTTTTAATAGCTCTTCCTTAAGTGCCAATTAATAGAACGGATACTTGAAGCGTGGGAGATGAATGAGAAGAAACAGTGAGTAACTACTTTTCTCATTCCCTGCAATCGTCTACGTAAGACTTAAATTGTGAAATGAGTGTACGGCCAATTCGTAACTGATCTGACCACTTCTAAAACAACTTGTATGTTAATATTTGGATTAAAGTTTTCTCTCACACTGCTTTTTGGTAGCATTCTAATGCTTTTTAGCATGAGCATTTGAGAATACAATAGTTTCTCATTCTTGCCATGTGTAAGATGTTACTATGACCTTTAAAGTCTATCCATCTTCAAGTACAGAAACATCCTGTAAGTTTTGAGAGAACAGGAAATATTTTTCTCTAGTAACCCGATGAAAACTACTTATAAACACATCAAAGCATATTACATATTGAGGAGCAACAGACTCCCAAGTAGTAAAAGCCAGGTCCTCAGCAATGGAATACCTTCTAAAAGTATGTGTTTGTGAAAGGGTGGAAGTTTCAAGTAACAAATGTTGTCTGAAACTGTGTTCACAACAAGAGAAAAAAGCCTCAACATTCACCTGAGGTGATAAAACAGCTCTTGGAAGGCTCAGGAGATACTGAGCAGTAAACATTAGCTTGAACTTGTCAAAATACTGAATTAGATGACTCGGATAGTGTTGCTTATTCGCTGGTGTATTATTTGACAGTTCTACTCCCCAAAATGTTCCTGTTCCTATTTGGTGTGAAGAAGATAGTAAATATATGGCTAATGTAACTGACTTGAAAACAAGGATGTTGAAGTAGGAGAAGGGGATTGCACAAAGAAAGGGAATGTGACTTAATTTAACTCTAGAAAACATACTCTCCCATATATCTTCTATTTTATATTGTATTCTCCTGAGGTCATAGAGAACTGCCAACTTTATCAGCGATTAGACTCTCATAGGAGAGAAGTATGAGAAGTTATTTCCATAGATCCAAGCCAAAACTATTCTTTGGATGGTTAAGAATGTTCTTGATCCAGTGCTTACCATATGGATGAAATAATTAAATATTTAGTCTCATGTTTGCAAGTACTGATGTGGAAAGTAGTGTTGTAAGCCTCAGATTGTGCTTTTATCTGGAAATAGTTGACTTCTATTTGTGAGAAACTAGCAGACTGCTCTAAGTAATTCCCTTTTATCCAATTTTGTACAGGTATGGCTCCAAATATAAAAGATAAATCTTTAAAATAATCTACAGGTATTTTTGGCTTAGTTGCCTCCGAAAATTGGGTTTTTTTGTTACGCTTTTGTGTTCTGTCACTTAATGTTATTTCAAGCACCTCTAGAAACTTGAGGGTGACTGCTTTCTGCTGGTAAAAACCTGACATTTGGTTAGAAAAAACTGTTTGATTCTCTGGGATTAATAAGCATTTGCTAACAGAAGATACAGTCCTATTCTAGACTTTCTGGCTAGGCAATGACAAGTCAGTCCACTTTGTCCAATACAAGCACTTTTTGTAGCATATCCTGTATTAGAAATGATAACCTTTACCATCGTTATTTGTTGCTTGTTTTGAAGGTACTTGTTACCTAAGCAGTCAAGGAAATAAGGCAGGAATCTCTGAAGTTGTAAATGATGCGATACTGTTTCATTCGTGACACCTTGCATTGATATAACAGATTTTCAGTTACCTCATGTGTTAGAGGATGAGGGTGGAAAATGAAATAATGTGATTTGTGTTTGCGTAACAAAAACTACTTCCTGATCTCCTGTCACTTCAGAAGGATTTCAGTCAAGTTCATAGAAGGTTTGTCTAGCCAGTTGAGTGGGTCTGTCTTGTTTTTTCTTTTTCTTTTTCTTTTTTTTTTTTATTTATTTAAAAAGCACAAAACCTTGAAATGCTGACACAGCACATGTCTGGTTAGCTTGCAGCTAAATACTAGAAATTCAGTCCAAGTCAAGCTCTCACTTGAGCTCTTTGGTCGGGTCTAGAACAGTTGTAGCTGATCATAGCTACTCAGAGCTCTAATCTAAAAACTGATAATTCCTTCTTTTTTTTTTTTTTTTTTTTTTTCAAAGCAGTCCTGTCACATAAAAAATATTTGAACTGCCTTGTGATTGTACCTTTGGTATAAACTTAAATGTCATTCCTAAACTTCAGGAAAGCAGTGATCCTAACCTAAATTTCAGTTGGTCGTACCATTCCAGCTCCATATTCTAAATGTAATGTTAAGGAACTGCAATACTAGAGCACACTTGGGATTTTAGAATTTTTTCTCTTTTCATCATGGACTTGAAGCTCTGGGAGAATGTTTGGTGTGTTGAGGTTTTGAGGAATACTTGCAGCAACAGAAATTTCCTAAAAATTGTGGACCTGTTGTTAGTTTTGTCTTTATCTTGACAGTGCTGTGCATTTTTCTTTCTCCACACACACAAATATGAAAGCAGAAGTAGTCTGTTCAGATGCTCTGCGCTTCCTTCTTGGTGGTGTACATCTTGTTAACTCTTGTAAACTGGCTCAGTGCAGTCAAACCAGTTGGTATCTGAAATTCTTGAGTATTTTGGTGAACCTTTTGCTTTTAGGATGCAACTCTTCTGCTTTCGAACTCCTACGGTATTTGTCTTCTGTAACATCTTGACTCTTGCAGAGTGTTTTATAACAAAATATAGTAGCACAGTTGCTCTGAGTGTGCACAGTTGAATTCCTTTTGTCTGTTGCAGAGCTGAAGGAGGAAGGCGGCATGGCTACATGGGACATCTGACAAGGATAGCAAACTGTATTGTGCATAGTACAGATAAGGGGCCAAACAGTACACTAGTCCAACAGCTCATTAAAGGTAATGATAATGGTCTTAAGTTTGTCTTCTTGGCTTTCGTTATCCAATTTTGAGGAGATGAATCAAACTGAAATTAAAAGGCAACTGTTAGATAAAAGAAGAAAATATTATTTCTGACACACTGAATTTAAAACCAGTATTTCCGGTAGAACAGAAGAGAACAATTAAAAATTACGTGATGCCCTGTTGTTGATAGTATCAAATTGGTTGGTTTGTTGTTTTGGTTTTTTTTTCCTGTTTCCTACACCAGAGCTTCCAGAGGAAGTCAGAGAGCGATGGGAGACATTCTGCACAAGCTCTTTAGGAGAAACCAACAAGAGGAATACAGTGGACCTGGTAAGTAGTCATGGGTAAGGTATCAAAATTGCTGCTGTTCATTTTGGGCCCCAGTTTCTTTTTGTCAGCAGCACAACCAGTCTCCCCAACTACTTTGTACTTGTGTCAACAAGTACATGTAGTTGCTGAGCTATGGAACTGATAATTCTTTAGTTTACTTTTCAACTAATGGCGCATCATTAATTTGTATGGGAATCTTTCAGTAGCTCGGTTTGTGCAACTCAGACAATTACCAAGGAAGACTTCTTTACAGCTTCAAGTTAGTGTCCTTGAAAGCTCCTCTTCACTTGAAGAGTACGAAGTAAAACTGCAGGAGCTGGTGTTAATTGCTTAATCTGCAGTATGTAAATGAATCTATGTAAGCTTAGTGGGGAAAAAACTACCTCCATCCCCCTGCATGTGTTACTGACCTTGCTTAAGTCAAGTAACTGTGTACTTTTGTTGTGCACCTGCCATATTTCTTTTGCACACAGTAGTGATTACACCCTTAGAAAATAGCTAAACTAAGTAGAAGTATGGAAAGGTTTTGTGTAATCATCTTGAACATATAGTTTAAGAATAATCACTTGGAGACTTTAATAAGCAGAGGCTGTTTCCAATGTCAGCAGACCAGTAAATGAATTTTAATATGCCTGACTTCTCCAGGAATGCAGTGCTTTGTGTGTAGCTTTGTAAACTCGTGCTGGTGCTATATTAACTGGGCTATAGGATTAATAGACTGTTAAGTTTGCTATTTCAACATAATACAGCAACTGGAACATGATGTGTGTAGCAATAGGATGGGTAGGAAATTCATCTGAAACTGGACCAAATAATAAGAAGGTATTTTTTTCCACAAGCCTTTTAATGCAAAGAAGTTTGTAGTCCTTAGAGAATAATGGCGTTTTCTTCTTGTTAGAAACTGCTTCTTAGTTGAGACCAAGAGTCATCTAAAGAGGCAGATTTTTGAACTCATTTATAGTTAATAACATTGTAATTAGCTCTTTAGAGATATAATAATTTTCTTGGATGGGCTTAATGTAACAACAGTAAAACCAAAACCTGTCCAAGCACCACAATATTCAGTTGAGTAGAAATACAAAGTATTTAAATAAATTCTTGTATCTAAAATGCCATCTGGAAAATAATACGTCTTTGAATGACTGAAGTTACAGGCTTTGTTCCTGCTGGTGTGATCAATTCTCCTGGGCCTCAGATTGGCATTTGGCTCAAAGATAAGCGGTAATAGACAGTACAGTGTGGTGTAGGAAATAGTAAAAGACATTTCATAGAAAACTCAGCTGCTTGTTTTACTGAGTCAAGTTGAAGTTATGGTTATTGTATGGGTGTATCCCGAAAGCACAGCCCCACGGTATTTCTTCCCAGTCATACTGCCCCCTAATATCCATGCTTTTGATCTGTGCTTTGGTTTTCATAGACCTCTCCTGTCCATCTGTAAACCTGGACGGTTTAGTATGTCTGAATGTTTCAGCTGTTCTGTTAGTTGGTGAAAGCATCCTGGGTTAAAGCAACAGCTTGTCAGAATGAATGTTGTACCTGAAAAATTATATACCTGATTTTAAGTGTAGATTTTCAGTGTCCCCAGAGAAAGATCTTAAGCACACCTCTGAATTTTCTATGGATTAGCCTTACATTTATTGTTGGGTAGCTGAGTAGACTTACTTGGTTCAAGGTTTTCCTTTCCTGAGCAAGCTGTTGAGCAAAATCTAGTCATGGGTGATATAATAGTTAAGCATAGAGTTTCTGAGCTGAATGGCAGAAGTGTGATTTACTGTTACGCTTGATCATCTTCAGTCAATTTACTGGATTTACTAAGCTCAGATGATCTGATCTTTATGTGTATGTTCCTTGAAACTTATAAGTTAGCTGTGTAAAGGCTGTGGAAATAACAGATCTTGTGAAGTCCTCTCAATGCTTCAGTCATTTGGTGCTCAACAAAGAGAGCTTATTTAGTCTAAAGGAAGAAGGTATGAGGTCCTGGGGTCCCAGCAAAATGAACTGCTGCAGCAGCCAGGAGACTATGCTTTTTCAGTTGTTTTACATCAGGGATGTTGATTGTAAAACAACAAATGCTTTATCCCTTTCATTCTCTTTCTCCCTCTTCAGGTTTTTCTGTCTTTCAAATAAGTTCATTATGTTTTTTAAAACAACTATAACTGCAAACTTAGAAGTGAGCATGTAGCAGACCTATCTCAGAGTTTCCCCAAAACACTTCACAGACTTTACAGGAAGTTTGTTTTTGTAGAAGGTAGGCAGTACTTCACTAAGCTTACCTGCTTACACTTACCTAGCTAAAGACTAAACAAATGTGGAGTAATGGTTCATTTTCTTTTTATTGAAGGTGCATTAATGATGCTGGTACAGTGAAGAATGCTGTGTACAACTTGTAACACTAGGTTTGTACAAGAGACTGTATAAATTGAGATGTGTCTCTTTGTGGCATCCTTCCAGTATTAGTCATCAATATCAAATGTTCCAGAGATATAATTAAAGACAAAGTGAGGAGAATATACCTCCCCTAAGCCTAAAAATAACAGTCTACAGGACAAATAGTTCATGATTGCCTTAGGAACTACAAGGCAATTTCTTTCTCTAAAGGAAAATCTTTCTCAATATTACTAGGAAATGAGGCAAAAAATGCCACACATCAGAATGAATTATTTAGGAAAAGTGCCTGTGCTGTGTATTAGTGTTAGAAAGTGACTGGTCTGAGCAGTGAGGAGCTTTAAAGAATTGATCGCTGGAATTTGCAGAGGTCAGCTAACTTGTTCATTAGTAGTAACTGAAACTAAATAAATAACTTCTTACTTGGTTTTGGATGTATTTTCCCCTAACAAGTTGCAGTTGAGGAAGGAGTAGGTAAATTAACTTTTATCCTCTCAAAACATGCCCACATGAGGGGGACAGTATCTAGGGCAGCTCAGCAGGTGGTATGGAATGCCATATAATTACCTTGAAGTGTGCAGACTTTGCAAAAATATTTTCATAAATATGCACTGAGCACTAACCTTCAATGGACTTGGTCTGTCATTTGATATAACAGTTCTTCTCCAGACACAGCAAGCCCAGAGACCATTTGATGCATTATTATTCTTCACAGAATCCCAGAATTGCCTGGATTGGAAAAGCCCTTTAAGATCATCAAGTCCAGCTATGAACCCAACACTGACAAGTCCCCGACTAACCCATGTCCCTCAGCACTATATCTACACGACTCTTCAATCCCTCCAGGGATGGGGACTCCACCACTGCCCTGGGCAACCCCTTTGCAGGGGGTTTCAGCAAAGAAATTCTTCCTCACATCCCATCTCAACTGCCCTGGGCACCACTGGAGCCCATTTCCTCTTGTCCTGTCCCTTGGTCCTTGGTTGAACAGACCCACCCCCACCTCTCTCCACCCTCCTCCAAGGGACTTGGACAGAGCCAGAAGGTCTCCCCTCAGCCTCCTTTTCTCCAGGCTCAACACCCCCAGTTCCCTCAGCCGGGAACTCAGCACACTTGTGCTCCAGACCCTTCCCCAGCTCCGTTGCCCTTCTCTGGACACGCTCCAGCACCTCCACGTCCTTCTTGGAGTCAGGAGCCCAACACTGAACCCAGCACTCAAGGTGCAGCCTCACCAGTTCTCAGTGCAGGGGGAAGAGAACTCCCCGGGTCCTACTGGTCACACTAGTGCTGATCCAGGCCAGGATGCTGTTGGCCTTCTTGGCCACCTGGCCACTCTGCTGACTCATGTTCAGCTGGCTGTCTTTTCCCACTTTTTGACAGTTTTAGTTTTGATAGGTCAGGTTTCCTTCAGAAATTTCCTAACTTGAAGTCAGGGTGCTTGTAGAATGCAAATTGCAGTGCAGGGCTGAATGGTAGATGTGCAAGAATAAAGCACTCCCAATTATTTTTTTTTTACATAAGTGTTATAGTAACAGACATAAAAGCATAATAATAACAGACATGAAAGTATAAAAGCACAGTATTCTTCAGGTAATAACTCTCTTAACTTATCTCTTGCTCATGTGTCCTGAGTAGCATTGTCCCAAGATATCTGGGGGAGCAGAGAAAGGTGTCTGTCTTGTGAAGCGTTGTATGTGTGTCAGTCCTTTTGTATAGACTTGTATTTTCTTCAAAAAATAAAAAGAATCCATGAGCCACCTGACATCACTTGAGTCTGTAGCATGGAGTTCTAGGGGTGTGTAGAATAATGCAGTATATTATAGTGACGTATAAATTTTATCATCTGTAGATTTGCTAATGATCCTTCCTAGAGTGTCTTAAGGGTCAGCTCTTGCTGCTGCTGCTTTAGCTCATGGCTGTCCCAGCTAAAGGTACTGTTGGAGTGCTGTCCTGATTGAAGATGAGTACTTCCCAAAGTTAGCTAGCAGTGTCACTAAGCAAACTATTCCCACTAGTTCTATATCAGATCATAAAAATACACAAAACCCTTCTTTCAAGAGTGATATTTAAAACAGCAGTTGCTGTGGCAACAACTCCAAGTTTGTTTCCGCAAGTTCACGTTGGTTACGAATTTCTGAAGTTTAATTCTTTTGTCCTTTAGTAAGTACTGTAGATACCTAACAAAGTTTCCCTTTAATTTTTATATATTTTATATATAGGAAAGGAGGAGGATCTCTGTATATCATCCAGTATTTTGGAGACAACTAGTTCACTTGCTGTTGAATATATTTTGTGCAGTACAAAGACAAGATGCAAATTTTGTCTCGTTTTGGTTTAGGTAACTGTCAGCTGTAGGGCTGGCTTTTTAATGTTAAATAGTCATTCTGAAATATTCAAAAGCTTTGGCTTTTTTGGGGTATGTAATCCTCACATATGTGTTAATGCTATTGCAATATTTCAGGGACTGTTTTAGGTGGTATAGCAGTTGGGAAAACTAAATACAATTCAATTTCTTGGTTTGATATGAAACTGAAGATTGAGCCAGCTAGTGCGAGTATAATACTTGAATGGCTGTCACAGACTCTGCAAGTGACTTAATACCTTTCTATAGGTGACTACCTGCCACATTCATTCTTCCAGTGATGATGAAATTGATTTTAAAGAAACTGGCTTCTCACAGGATTCATCTTTGCAGCAGGTGAGTTAAATGCTTTAACAGCATCAGTTGCTCTTTCTGTAAAAATAAGTAAGAAATTTTTAAAAAGCAGTGGAACTTGTATTGCTATCACAAGCAAATACAAATCTAGAAAGTTTAAAATAAAACTGAGACATGTGTGCACGCACACGACTGTGTTTTATCAAACCCAGAGTTATAATTTTTAACACAACTCACAATATGTCAGTGTGTCTTCCAGTTTTCAGTCTTTGATCATGCTGTGTATGCAGATCTCTATTTGTTATGTCTAAGAACATATTTTATACACCAGCTGTCTGGCTAAGTTGCACACAGTTTCTGTGTTAACTTCAGTTCTTAACTAGATGTAGAAATTTGAAGTGGTGACTTCTAATTTTGTTTTCTGGCAAGTGTGAGTTGCCATGAAAGCAAATAGGGGTTTTTGTTTGGTTTTGCTGACAGGTTTTTTTTAAAATGTTGATCATATTTTGATGAGGAAGCAAGGAGGATTGACTATTTATTAAATGCTTTTAGTTTCTGGCAAAATGTCAAACTCTGCAGCTGTCACAATATAAATGGAGAGCTCATTATGCTCCTGTGACAGGTTTTATCTAGCAGCTCAAATGCATTTAACTTTATAAACCCTGGATACCTGGCAAGTGTACATAGCCAAATCTTCTGAACTAAATTTCCAGTGAACTCGATCACTTATTTTTAAGTTTGGTATATGCTTTTGGCAACTCATTAGTGAGTGTTTCAAAGATAATTATTTTTCATTTGGTTTAATGAAAACAAAATTGAGAATGCCTAGGGAATTTTCAGATCAACTGGAATGAAAGCTTGAGTCAAAGCTGTGTCCACTGTGAAGTTTTAATGCTTTCCTAGCTGACTAATTAATAATGATACAATGTTTAATACGGTTATGGGATTAGAGTATTTTTGCAATGAGAGATTGTAGGGAACTTTGGTGCCATTTTGATGAAGAATGACAGCATTTCTGTAATAGTACTGTCGTACCTGCAACATGCATCTCTTAATTCTTTCACCGGTGGTCAAAGAGTGGGAGCCATGTGACACAAAATTGCCGATAGATCATTTATGCAGAACACACTTACCTGGGTAAGCTCCATGTAATTCATCTGGAATGCTTTAAGTAATTTCAGTGTATATCTCATCAGTGATTTATCTTGTCTAGATATACATTGAAATTACTTAAAGCATTCTCCAGCTGCAGAAATCATCCATAAAGGTGTCTCTGGCTTCAGCTAGAATACCCTATTCTAGACAGAGAGTTAAAGAAGGAAACAGGAGACAAGTCTCCAGAATTCAAGTGGACCCATTAGGAATTGGATAAGGAGGGAAAATATTCATCTTTTTGATGAAGGAAACTATTCATCTTTTGTTTATTTTTGACAAACTTAACTTCTGCCTGTGCAGAATTACATTTTCTATGACTTCTTTCTTCTGGCATCTAAATCTAGTTCAATACTGTTATCTTCTAATGAAGACCCTTTGTTCTAGAAGGCAAGGTTTCCTTCCCCCCCCCC